ACATTTCGGGGGGAAGGGTCCATAGGTCCTCATATGGCTTGTTAACTGAGGGGTGTTACAGAGTATTTGTTAAATCTAGCTAACAAAATATATATTGTGTGTTTGATTGGTCCAGACGCTACAATGCTGAAAAGAATAATTTACTGCCATCTGGACACAAATCACTATTCTCTCGATGAAATCATCCATGTTTTCTCTGCATTAGCGCTGTTTTGAATTTATTACTTATTACTAATGCATTCCGTTACTGGATCCTTGAACTTTCCAGAAGTTTACCGGTTTCAAATGACCTCCTGGGTAGTGTGCTTTATAGTGTTATTTCTAATCACCCAGACACTGACGCTTTGACTCAGTACCAGTGTTGTGCCCAATTCTTACTCCCTGCCAGATTATTACCCCCTAGTATTGTTAGGTTTAGGATTAGGTGTGGGGGAGAGGTTAGGATTAGGGGTGAGGTTAGGATTAGGCAATCAGGTAGCGGCTTCAACGAGGGGGGTAATAATTTGGCATTGAGGTCGAAATTGGGTATAACGCAACACTCCATGCAACATGTCAGAAGTGCTGGTACTGCGTAGTGTCTGGACAGCACCGGCATCACCATCGCACCGGACATCAGGTGTCGGCACGACTGCCACCATTAACCACCGGTTGTAACATTATGCAATAGTGTCTGTGTTACTGCCACATTCATTATTTGGCCACCAGCACACTGTGATTTTGTCAGCTGCACTCTGCTTCAGTCCAAAGTTTCTGAGGCAATGGCATTCAGCACCACCTTATAGTGCGGGGGATCCCGCCTCTATTTTGCGTGCTTGAACGTCATTGGCGAGCGAATTCTCACCCACAAGATTTCCTAAGGCTTCAGTAGATTCAAGGAAGGAGGGGACAACCCCTAAAATGACGGATAATGCAGTGTCTCATTCCCTCCTCTCAGGGAACCGAGGTTACGTTAGGTAACCGGAGACATTTCCTTGTCCATGGTCCAAAACGTTAAGACAGGCTCCATCATTCCAGCATAAGACAAGCGGTTTGAAATATGGATGGAGCGGGGCACGGGGCTCAACTGGACTAAACACCAAAATAGTTGTGTGACCCCAAACCAGGGTCAGAAATTATAACCTGGTGAATGTCAAATGAAGGTAACTTGTGTGCGTTATTTCAGAGCCTTGAGAAATACTTTCCGCAGCACATAACTTCTACATTTTATTATTATGTTCTAGATTCTTCAAATTATATGAATTGAAGCAATACTTAGCCTATATTTCCATTCCAAAGAAGGGGGGGGGGATTTGACAAAATAGATATAAATATTTGATTTTAAATGCATTTTCATTAAATATTTGATTTTGGACAATCACAATTTAGAGAAAATATATTTTAAGAAGGTTATTAAGCATCTGAACTACAAACCTGCCATTAAGCAGGTAAAACAAACAATTATAAATTAAAAATGTAATAGGAGATTACTGATAGTGTTTGTGACAACTAGCCCACACTTGCTTGTTTTTGAGGTGTGATAATTGGAAAATCCCAAAAGCTTGTTTAAGTCTCCAAGCAGTAAAAATGTGTTTTCAAGCGAGAAGTTTACTGCTGTAATCCACTACCCGAACCAAAAAATACCCAGAGCTACTCTCAGAGTCCACCGAGATCAATAAATGGCCATTGCCTGTAGCTGTGAAAGCCTTCACTTTAGATGAGGGCAAGGGTTTTCATCAACTTACACAAAGTCGATTTATGGCAGACGTCTGGCTGCCTTTAGATGTCCGAATGTGTGCAGAAACACGGTTACTGGCAATTTACTTGATTTTCATGTCCTGTAGCTCGCAGACCCATGTCATGGAGCTTATTCGAGATCTTGGTCTGGAGGTCTTTCCACAATACACCGAGGGCAAGAAGGTGCATCACATGGGTGGTCCGCATGCCAAAATCAAAACGTACACTTCTAGTATACCGTCATACTCTCCGCTGGCCCTGCTGGACTTCACCCAGGTTCTGTGGCGGGTATGAGAAACAGTACCATCTCATCTGACAAAGTTCCGGTCCACAATAAAATATATATATATTTTTTATTGAGTACTAGAATGTGACTAATAGCCATCATTTACCTTGTACGTTCAGCCTCAATATATCTTGTAGATTGCTCAGACCTTTACAGATGTATGAAAGCTTTTTAGCTGCTATTACTAAGAGTGGCAAATGGATTAATGGGTTTGTCCAATCTATTGAGGTCATTTTTGACATCATTCTAGCTTCAAACTCAAGCATAAGGTGAGAAATATGTTGTCTGACAATGCATCATCTGTAATATGGTTTGCTAAAAGTAACATGCAAAACAAACAGGGTTTGGCTAACATATGTTTCTGTTGATGGATGCGCATTCTGGCTTCCCAATACATTACAACAACAGCGATGAAAAAACAAAAACCTGGACAAACCATTCACTCTTGTTCAATGTGAATGCCGTATGCTGGAATATAAGCAGTCATTTATTTCGTCATCACGCAGGTGCTAATAGCGGTGAGACCTGAACAGCACACGTTGATATCTGTGTTTAAGCTAAAATCATTTAAGCCTTGCCAGTTTAAACATTTAAGAGCCAGTCTCAGCCAGAGGACG